AAGCCGGGCACGGTGGCTGGCACCTGTAATCCCAGCACTTTGAGAGGCTAAGGCAGGCAGATCACAAGGTCAAGAGATGGAGACCATCCTGGCAAACATGGTGAAACCCTGTCTCTACTAAAAATACAAAAATTAGCTGGGCATGGTAGTGTGCGCCTGTAGTCCCAGCTACTTGGGAGGCTGAAGCAAGGAGAATCGCTTGAACCTAGGAGGCGGAGGTTGCAGTGAGCAGAGATCGCGCCACTGCACTTCAGCCTAGTGACAGAGGAAGGCTCCATCTCCAAAAAAAAGAAAAAAAAGGAAAAAAAATAAATTAATGGGAGAGGATTGCAAGGGGTATAAATTAAACAAAATTAATCAAAAGTTAATAACTTCAATTGTTGAAACTGGGAACTGGATACATAAGATTTACTATATTGGCCGTGTGTGGTGGGTCACGCCTGTAATCCCAGCACTTTGGGAGGCTGAGGCAGGCGAATCACCTGAGGTCAGAAGTTCGAGATCAGCCTTGCCAAAATATAGTGAAACCCCATCTCTTCTAAAAATACAAAAATTAGCTGGGCATGGTGGCACATGTCTGTAGTCCCAGCTACTTGGGAAGCTGAGGCAGGAGAATCGCTTGAACCCAGGAGGAGGAGGTTACAGTGAGCTGAAATAGCGCCATTGCACTCCAGCCTGGGTGACAGCGTGAGACTCCATATCTAAAAAAAAAAAAAAAAAAAAAAAAAAAAAAAAAAAAAAAAAAAAAAAAAAAAAAAAAAAAAATTGCTAATTTTTCTACTTCTGTACATTTTTGAAAATTTCAATAATAAAATGGTCAAAGCACTGTCTCTGAGCTGGACTGTTGCATTAACAGGTCACCCTTCGTTTACTCTTGCCCCCTATGGTCTGTTCTCCCCACCACTGCTAGAACAATCAGTCTAAAAGGTAATTCTGATCACATTCCTCCTCTACTGAGAACCCTACCATGGTTCCCCGTTGCCCTCTGCATAAAAGCCAACATCCCCACAACAGCCTACAAGACCCTGTACCATCGGGTTCCTTATCTCCTCCTCTCCAACCGTGCTCCCCTCCCTGACTCTGCTCCAGCTATAATGACCTCCGTGCTGTTCCTCTAATGTGCCAGGACACCCCATTCATTCTCAGATCACAGAAACAGTATGAGGACAGGCAGATGTTGTTTTGCAAAATGAGCAAACAGGCACATGAGATAAGACATCTAGCTGCCAAACTATATTTGAGGCATTTTCAAAGAATTTAACGACCTTGACTGAGCGCAGTCAAGTTTGGTGAACAGAAAATATCTCTGAACCAGAGGAGTCCCCGCACTAAGAGTATGGTCAGACCCTTCAATGGAGGAGGGGGGAAGAGCAGAAACAGTCCAGCTCGCCGCCCAAGTAACCCAGGTCCTGAATCGGCCCGCCTCGGCCAGTGCTCCAGAAGCGCGCGCCAAGAACTGGCTGGGGCCCAAGAAGGGAAGGGAGCCAGAACGTCCGGGAGAGTCTCGGAGGCTGCGGAACGCCCTCTGATGGAACCCTGTCGTTGGGGAAAAGGACACACACACCTGTCAGCAGAATCCGTCAGACGTGAGAAGGGTGGGAGCGGCAGACTGTGAGCGCTGGTAGGGCCCCGGCGCTCCGAGAAAGTCTCAGTTCCGCGGTCGCCCTTCCCTTCTCCGCTGTCGAAATCACTGCTTCCGGCTTCCGGTGTCATAGCTGTGGGATCCGGAAGTACAAGCACAAGCTCCGCCCAGGATCACGAGAAGCCGGCGAGAGGTGTGAGGCCGCGGTAGGGCCGTATCCCGCTCCGGAGAGAAGTTTGAGTCCGCCAGGCTCTGCCAGCCCGCGAAAGCTCGGTAATGATACGCACGACCGCCACTTTGCGGGGCGTCACAGCCTACAGGCCCCCTTGTCTCTCGGACAGCGGCGCCTAGCCTCAGGACGCTCGGCCACCCCGCCCTCACCGGGGGAGGAGTCAACAAGACTGCCCAATAGGGCCGGCTTGACCCACGAACAAGCGAGGGTTCCCGGGGGAGCGGCCCTGCAGAAGGCCCCTCCCAGGAGCCGAGGGACAGCCCAGAGGAGGCGTGGCCACGCTGCCGGCGGAAGTGGAGACCTCCGCGAGCCCGCGGGGCCGCCGGGCAGGCCGGAAAAACGGACAATGGGGATGGGGCCGGGCCGGCGATGGGGACGCAGTAGCATTGCGCGGAGCTGCACCCGCGCCCGCCTAGACAACGGG